TATATATTTTTATGATAAAATATTTCAAAAATAATAAAGTAGAGCCAGGTGTGGTGGTGCATGCCTTTAATCCCAGCACTTGGGAGGTAGAGGCAGGTGGATTTCTGTGAGTTCAAGGCCAGCCTGATCTATATAGCAAGTTCCAGGCCAGCAGGGGCTACAGGGAAACCTTGTCTCAAAAAATAATAGTAATAAAGTAAAATAAATTTGAGATAATTTACATATATAAAAGGTATGCATTTAAGAGTACAGTTCAGCCGGGCTTGGTGGCACATGCCTTTAATCCCAGCATTTGGGAGGAAGAGGCAGGCGGGTCTCTGAGTTCAAAGCCAGCCTGGCCTTGGCCTACATAGTGAGTTCCAGAACAGCTGGGGCTACAGGGAGACCCTGTCTCAAAAAGACCAAAAAAAAAAAAGAGTACAGTTCAATGAGGATTTTTTCATTTGTTTCTCACAGCCAAGACTTGGTATATATTAGGCAAGCACTTAAGGCACTAGGAGCATTTCTGTGCACATTTTTGGTGGCGCAGAGCTCATTTCTGTGCCTCCTCAGCAGTGGAACTGCTAAGGCATAGCTTGCAGTACCTCACAGTTTCCCAAAGGGAAAGTGTTGACTCCTCCCCCCCCCACCACCTCCGCCCCAGCAGAGAATGAATGTTCCAGCTGCTTTGCACTCTCCTGTGCTCAGGGTTGCAGTCCTTTCTGTGGGAGGCCTTCTGGCAGCGGTGCAGGGTGTTCATTGTGCCGCTGACTCACAGCTGCCTTTCTTTGGGGCTTCCCCCTCCTCTAGACCACCCTAATGAGCATTCACCATGAAATACTGTATTCACACGCTCCTCCAGCTGGCTGAAGCAGCCCTGGCATCTGTCTAACTGGCTGAAAGTCCCCTCAGCTCTGTCCTTTCTTTGCAGGTGGTTTTTCCCCATCATCGGCCACATGGGCATCTGCACATCCACAGGAGTCATTCGGGACTTTGCTGGCCCCTATTTTGTCTCAGTGAGTCCCCATTTTGCCTGGACCTAGCCCTCTACCCCTCACAGTGTTTTACCCCTTCCTTCTCTTGCCTCCAGAACTAGCCAGGAAGGCAATGTGGCCAGAGGATTCTTAGGTAACTGGCACAGCACTCTGCCCCCATCTCTGAGGTTCCAAGACATGGTAGGTGTTAGTGGCAAGAGTGGAATCAGGCCATTCAGGACCCATATCTCTGGACCTTCAGAATGTGTGAGCTGTGGTTTGGCGACATAAGAGGCTGACTTAGTTCCCAGGGTGGGCTTCTAGAATGAACCAGCTGTATTCTCAGATCTGTTTCCTTTGGATGGACCAGGGGCTCTCTCCAGATGCACACAAAATCTGCCAGTTTTCAGATAGCTGAACCTGGAATGTGGTGGCATCAACCATCACATGATGGCAGATGTAGGAGGATTGCCAAGAGTTCAGGGCTAGCCTGGGCTATATAGTGGTCACTCTGGAGTACAGAATGAGACTGTCTCAAAAAAACAAAACAAAAACAGTATTTCTGCTGTGAGGGAGAGCGAGAGAGCGCACACCCAAGAGAGACAGTGTCTCACTGCATAAGGAGTATAGCACTCCTTACCACCTCTCCCTCTAAAGAAAGCTCTGTGGACCTGGTCGCCTGTGTCCTGCTCTGAAGGTGCTAGGCTGTCAGGTCCTATGTGAGCTGTCATTGTTGGACTGGGAGGCCAGAGGGCTAACATGGTATGAAGGAAACTTGCTGCCTATAAGCAAAGATCAGAGAAGACCGCCCAGAGAGGGCACTGCGTCCTTTCCACAGAAGTGCTGCTAATGGGACTTCAGATGCTGTACCACTTTGTGCCTCAGCACTGACTTAGATTGTCATCCAGACTGGGTGTAGTTTCTCTACTGACCTCTGCTCTTGTCCCTCAACAGGAAGACAACATGGCCTTCGGAAAACCTGCCAAGTAAGTGAACACCCTTGTGCCTGGCCCTAGGGCCAGGTTCCTCCTGCCCAGATCAGCAGACCAGGCCCTGTGAGGCACAGCAAGAGCCATTACCGACAGTTGTGAGAGAGACAGCCAGGGTCCATGAGGACATTTTAGCTTCATTTTGAGCACTTAGTGCACCAGTCCCTGACTGGGCCTTTTGCTATGGACAGTGTGGTGGTACAGGTCTTTAATCCCGGTGCTCGGGAGGCAGAGGCAGGAGGATCTCTGTGAGATCAAAGCTGGCCTGGTCTACATAGCAAGTGCCAGGCCATCTGGGGCTACAGGGAGACCCTAACTCAAAAAGACCCCCAAAAAGAACAAATGAACAAACCACTTTTTGGCCAGGCATGGTGTCTGGGGGTCTTTGGGCTGGGCATTTGCTCCTGGACTGATTTTCAAAGACAGTTTGTTCTGACCTGTTTAGTTTTGTGTTTTCCAAAGGCAGTTGTAAGGACATCTGTTCTGAGCAGGAGCCCTGAGACCCAAGTCCAGGCCACAGTGGTTTTTAACTGTCACCACATTTCTTCCTGAAGCCATTCCCTCCTCCTCACAATGACCTCAGGGCACTCTGGCCCTAGCACTCCCAGCCTGAGACCACTGGGACGCTCCATTGCTTAAAGCATCCACTCCTACCCAGTCCAGTGTTCATGGGCTTTGTTCCCACTAGCATCTCGCCCACTCACTCAGGTGACTTGGGGAGAATGCTGCTGGTGGGTAAACCTCTGTGACACTCAAGGCTGCATCTCCTTCCTCATCTGCCAGCACTCTGTCACCTATCACTTTGTTTCTCCTTCTGAATCCTTCAGCATTGCCCCGTCACTTATTTCTGGGACACACTGTACAGTTTTATACCTCCCACTTTGTTCCCACAGCCTCCAGTGCTCACCTAACCTTCTTCCTTCAGCCTAGACTCAGGTGTTGCCTCCAGAAAACCTTCTGTCTTCATCTACTCAGGTTGCCATGACAAAATACCATTGAGTGGGTGGCTCATAAACAACAGAAATTTCACACAGCTTTGGAGGCTAGGAAGGTCAAGATCGAGGTTCTGATTCATCCAGTGCCTCATGAGGCCCACAGTGCCTATATCCTCACGTGGCTGAAGGGGCAAGGAGCCTCAGGCCTCTCTTAGTTCACTAACCCCACTCCGTGGTTCAGTCACTTCAAAAAGGTTTCAGCTTCTGACACCTCAGCCATTAAGATTTCAGCACACCGGAGGAGGGGCAGATAGGCAAACCACAGCACCTTGGACTGCAGTAGCCCTTCCCTCTCAGGAGCTATGACGCCATCGGTCATCTTGTCCTGTTACAGTTGTCTGATCTGTCCTGCTGTGACGTCACTTCCTGGAGAGTACACCTTCTCCAAACAAACTTCTCTTCCCCCCAGATAGGGCACTCATGACAGACCAAAGAACTGATTCCACCCACTAACTTAGTGAACCTATAATACTGAGGTTCCTTACAGGAATGGGAAATTCAGAAGACAGCTACACCACCAAAAAGCCTACGCATCATGGGTACAACTCATTAAACCTGTGGGCCTGGAGCTTTCTGTAGGGCTTGCAGGCAAGTCAGTCTCATCCCCAGGAATAGTTGCACATAACCTTAAGGAAGGGCCTTATGAGTCTTGATTCAGGGGTCTCCTGAGCCTTATAAACTTCCTTTGCTTTCTAAGTCTCAGGATCCTCCCTCGTCTCTCCAGAAGGGAATGTTTCAATTGGGAGGAAATTGCTATCCAATACTAGACCTGGATTTGGCTCACACCCATGGCCTTGGCACCCAGCTCAGGGTCAGGTACACAGCAGGACTCAAAGAATATTCATAGAGCTGGAAAGCCACTCAGGGATGAGCCAGTACCCAGAACTCTCCTCTTTCCTGTCAGATTCTGGAAATTGGACCCCGCACAGGTATATGCTAGTGGGCCCAACGCGTGGGACACAGCAGTTCATGATGCCTCTGAAGAGTACAAGCACCGCATGGTAGGTGGGAGCGGGGGTGGGAGGATCCCCCAGCCCAGTCTGACCCAACCCTTCTTGCCCCTCCAGCACAATCTCTGCTGTGACAACTGCCACTCACATGTGGCATTGGCCCTGAACCTGATGCGTTACAACAACAGCACCAACTGGAATATGGTGACACTCTGCTTCTTCTGCCTGCTTTATGGGAAGTACGTCAGGTGAGCTGTCTTCTCACCTGTATGACCCCTGGGCTGCTCTTCCAAGGATCCTGGAAGGGCTGTCACTGGAGCTGTTCATTTACCAGGGACGGTTAGAACAGAGACAGTCGGAGCTCCGAGGTTAATGAATGATTAGCTAAGTCCCTGGTGGAGAGTGAGGTAGCTGGACCAAAGTCTCCTCCACGTGGGCTCCTAGCTGAGCTGTTGCACTTGTTCACTATGAGTTTCTGGGTAGCTGCCTCTGGGTTATGGTTGTAGTTCTGGTTTCTTGGGAGGCCAGGAATCTAATAGATGTTTAGGTGGTGTGACTACTTCCAAGGGTCCCTTCCCATGCATCCCTTGTTAGAGGCAGGCTTCTGTACAGTTGGGCTCATAATCCAGGTAGACCTTTGAATTGTAGCCTCATGACCCTGTGAGGTCCAAGACATTCCCAGCTCACACTAAAAGAGCTCAGACAGGTTTGAGTGAATTGCCCTGGGTCCCACAACAGAGCCCAGACTTCAGTTGATCAGGCTACCTTCCTGTGGACTTATGATTAAGAGCTTCTGGAGAGGAACCTCTCAGGGGTCTTTTTCTACCCTAGAAGGCTTTAGAGGTCCCCCAAAAGAACATAACTGGGCACAGGAGGACTGAGGCAGAGCAGGGTTGGGTTCAGGCCCTGACTCCCAGCCCCATGGCTCTAGCCACAATAACACTGTGCTGACATTTGTTGATGCCACCATTCTCAGTGGGTCCCACGAGGGCCAGAGGGCATTTGTAGCTTCCACACTAAAATGGAAGCTCCTGGTCTTTATGCTGGAGACCTCAAGATAAGTGATTGTAAATAGAGCCACTGAGACCCAGACAATATGAGCCTTCCTCATGTACAGGCCAGTGGTATCTAGATCTCCAGCAGGAGTTGGTGGTCCTCCATAGTGGGTCCCATTCAAAGCCCTTTTCCTTGGCTAACCAAGTTGACAGATGAAAGTATGGTTCCAGGGCTTTCTTAGGAACTTAAGCCTTGTCTGGGTTGGAGATGGGGGTTGGTTCTGGGTCATTCACCTGCTTACCTGACCCTGTCTTCCCTGTGACTCCTCTCACTGTTAGTGTCGGGGCCTTCGTGAAGACCTGGCTGCCCTTTGTCCTCCTCCTGGGCATCATCCTGACTGTCAGTCTCGTCTTCAACCTGCGGTGATGGCTTTCAGGTGGCCCAAACTTTCCCAAGGAGGCCCTTGTACCACTTTTTGGTCCCAGATTCTTTATCCCCACCCTCAAAGGCAAGGTTGGCCTCCTGGTTGGAAGTAGAGTCAGGGCTTGGCATAGAAGGTCTGAGGGTGTGAGGCAGGGCATCTGCTTGTTGTGACTCACTGGCCATTCAGAAGCTCCCTGTTTTCTCCCTGGGTGTATGACCCCGCTCATGGCGTCCTCCTTGTCCTCCCCCTAAGTTCTAAGGTCTTACCTCCCTTAGAGCTCATCCTGCCACTGCCACTGGACTTCTGTCATATCCCAGGGTCCAGCGAGGACAAGGACCTGCTGGACACAGCAGTGCCGTGCTGCCTTCTGGCCCCAAGGTGGGGCAGGACATTCTGATAAGTCTGTGTACCAAACAACTTGGAGCCTTCTCTGCTGGCCTCGAAGGGAGCAGAGGGTCTGGCTGGGTTCCTCTCCCAGAGCTGCCAGAGCTGCACTAGCATAATGTGTCCCCTGCAGCCTGGGGCTTGGTGAATGCAGTGTGCCCCCTGTAAAGCAGGGAGGGTGAACTCCACTGGCCCCAACCCAGGGAGTTCCTCATGCTGATAGTGGCACCCCTTAGATCCAAAGTGTGAGTAAACCATCAGAGTACCTAGTACCACCATGGAGTGGATGGTCTGTTTCAGGTTGTTAGAACGGGGCCTGTGTAGTCCACCTCGCCCCCTGCCTGGTGGGTTCCTTTGTGAGGGGCTCCCTGGCAGAAAATAAAGAGTTTTGAATCCAGGTGTTGCCTGTCATCGTGTTCTCCCTTCTGGGGCGCCGTGGTGTCACATATTGTGGTGTCCTTGGGATGAAGAGAGATGTGGTTGCCAGTGCCATGGCCAAGTTTTTCCAGGCTGTGGCACTTACAGGTAGGTCAGCATTCCTTAGGTGAATCCTGTGCACAGCCTATGGGAAGTCCCTACTATGCTCCAAGCTCCCTTCTGAAGAAAAGCCCTCCCATTTTCCCTGTTCGGAAGAACTTGACAGGCTTGGGGTTGGCACTGAGAAGACCAGACTTGCTCTGGTATGACCTGCTCCCTCAACCAGAAGTGTACAGTTCTGGTAAGCCAAGAGGAATGGCCATATGTTAGCCATGTTGCTGAGCTCCCCGTGCTGACCCTACAGTCTTGTCACTGACTAGTCTGCTCCTTGGTGCCTCTTATGTGGCTGCCGGGGCCTTCCAGGTGCTTCACCACATACCCTGCAGGATGTGCCCACCTCTTACCCTTTGCCTTCCACCAAGGCCCAGCTTAAAAGCTGCACGTGACTCAGTGGCAGTCCTTGTGTAGCCCTGGGTTGCATCCCCAGCACTCACTGTCCTAGGCTTTGTAGTACAGTACTGTATGTACCTTGAAGACAGTCATGCAAGGCAGGCACTATCGGCCCCACATTACAGATGAAGAAATGAGCACTGAGGTAACTTGTTCAAGTTCACAGAGGAAGAGTGAGCCCAAGGCTCAAAGCCAACTTTGCTGGGGCCAAAGGAGAGTTTGTGGGGACTTTCATCAAAGGGCATGGTGCTGTGACAGAGGAAGGGTAGATGCTGGAAGTTAAAAAAGCAGCCCTATGAGATGTCTGTTGCCACGTCAGTTCTACAAAGGAAAGCGTATTTATACAGATATGGCCACGTGAGGGGCTGGAGAGACGGCTCAGCCATCAAGAGCTATTCTTGCAGAGGACCCAGGTTGGGTTCCCAGCACCCAACTGGGTGGGTAACAAGGATGTTAACCTCAGTTCCAGGGGATCTACCGGCTCTGCTGACACCAGGCACTCATGTACATAAACATGCAGGCAAAACACTCAAAAAAAATTAAAATCCACATATGCAGCAGCTCAGTGATTAAAAGCACTTCATATATAAGTCTGATGGCCTGAGTTCAGTCCTTGGAGCCCACATGAAAATCAAATAAAGCTGGGTTCAGTGGTGTATATCTGTAATCACAGCTCTCCTACTTCAAGATGGAGGCAGAGGCAGAAGTGCCCAGAAGCTCATGGGCCAGCTAGCTGGAGCATACAGCGGCAGAAACAGCAGGAGACCCTGCCTCAAATACCAGGTGGGAGGAGGGCCAAGTAAGACAGTTATTCAGTAGAAGTAGCCGCTGTGCAAGCATGACAGCTTGGTCCCCACACCCCATGATGGAAAGACTGAACTGAAAGTTGTTCCAGAGAATCCAACTCCCTCTTCTGGCCTCTGCAAGCATTGCTGTACATGGTTCACTTACATATAGGCAAAACATAACACATCACAAATAAATTCTCTTGGGGGCTAAAGACATGGCTCAGCAATTAAGAGCACTTGCTACTCTTCCAAGGACCTAGGTTCAGTTCCCAGTACCTATGTGGCAACTATCACCAATCCTTAACTCCACTTCCAGGGAATGGAATGAGCTCCCTGGGTACCAGGCATGCATGTGGTCTACTTACATACATGCAGACAAAACACTCGTACACATTAAAAATGTCTGTCCAGGGACTTAACAGTTAAGAGCACTGACTACTCTTGCAGAGGATCCAGGTTCGATTCCCAGCACCCACATGATGGCTACGAACTGTCCTTAACTCCAATTCCAGGGGAATCTGAAGCCCTCTTCTGACCTTCATGGCATTGGCGACACGGATGCACTCACATACATGCAGGTAATACACTCATACACATAAAATAAAAGTAATAATTAAAGAAAAAAGTCTGTCCAGACTCAGGATGGGCAACAAGGGACATTCAGCCAGATACACCAAGGTCATCCAAAGGGTCAGGCTGAGGAGCTGAACATCTGAAAGGGGGGGACCATCTAGCTAGACAGGAGACTCCTGGGTGAGTGTGTAAAGGAGTCTGGGCTTGTTCAAAGAGTTGTGGCTAGCTGTGGCACCTTTCAAACCTGGGGAGTGACAACATTGTGGGGGGGGTTCTTTGTTTTTTAATGTGTATAAGTGTATTGCCTGCATGTGTGTAAGTGCACTTGTGTTGTGCAGTGCCCATAGAGGTCAGAAGAGAGTGTCTGATTCCCTTGGAACTGGTTACAGATGGTTGTTAGCCACCACGTGGGTTCTGGGAATCGAACCCAGGTCCTCTGCAAGAGGAGCCAGTGCTCTTAACCACTGAGCCATCTCTCTAGCTTTGGACAACTGTGTATTGTAAAAGCCCTCTGACTACTAGGCAAGAAAGAGCTGGACGGCCCAGTGTGGCAGCCAGAGGAACCTCCCAGAAGCTGGGCAGGTGGAAGTGAAGCAGGGAGAGGACAGCACCTGGAGTCCTGTGTTGAAAAGATCTGGTCCCCACCACCATGACCTGAGTCTGTCCAGGACCTAGAACTTGTGAGTACATCAGCATCCCTCTGGTGAATCCTGCCACTCCACATCCACGTTTCAAGCTTTGGTGAGGCAGGAGGCCCAGGGACCGCTTGCTGGAGTGGCAACTCGAAGGTAAGGTTTCAGACTGGGAGGGAGTTAGTGGATTCAGCTTGAGGAGACAGCAGGAAAGTCCCAGCCAAAGAAAGAACAAGAGATCAGAGAAGGGATGCTTAGGCCTGAAGACTGACATTTGGTATCATCCAGGGATGCTAAGAGGTCTCAGGGAGGCCTGGAGAAGCATCCTTGAGGAAGGAGTAGGATGCTGTCTGCCCCTCTCCTTCCAATGGAGGGGACTTGGAGGAGGTGGCTACCAGGATAACCACTCCCCCAGGACACACAGTGGATATCACATATCACATGTAAATGCCTGCTTTCCCTGAACTACACCCCCGATCCCTGTAATGTATTTAAGAATCTAGAGAGTTCACTGAAGTGCTGAAAACCCTCTATGAAAGGATTATTAAATACCAATTTCACAGATGAAGAAAATGGCTCAGAAAATAAGACTGACCAAAAAAAAAAAAAAATCAGGAAAGCTGGACTTTGGGCTGGGGGTATAGGAGGGGCCCCTCAGTTTCTTAAAGTCCTCGGAAGAGGAGGCAGAGCCAGGCAGGGAAGAAGGAACCAGCCTTGGGTAAGTCAAGAAAATTTTATGGTAGCTGGTTGTGGTGGTGCATGTGTGAAATCCCAGCACTTGGGAAGTGAGGCAGGAGGATCATGTCTCTGAGACCATCTTGGGGTACAAATCAAGACTATATGTATCAATGTAAATTTAGAATAAAAGGAACTTGAGAACTAGCAAGACGGTTCAGAGAGTGAAGGTGCTTGCAGCCAAGCCTGAGTTCAATCACCAGAATCCATATAAAGACAGAACCAACTCCTGGAAGTTTTCTTCTGACCGCCACACACATACCGTGATAAGCACTCAGACATACACACACAAAAGTAAAATGTAATAAAAAAATATGTGTATGAGTGTTTTGCATGCATGCAGGTACAACATGTACATGCAATGCCTGTGGAGGCCAGAAGAGGGCACCTGATCCCCTGGAACTGAAGGTACAGACAGCTGTTAACTGCTGTGTGGGTGCTGTGAAGCAAAACCAGGTCCTCTGCAAAAATAGAAAGTGCTCTTAGCCAGGTGTGGTGGTGCACGCCTTTAATCCCAGCACTTGAGAGGCAGATCTTTATGAGTTCAAGGCCAGCCTGGTCTACGTAGTGAGTTCAGGTCAGCTGGGACTACAGGGAGACCCTGTCTCAAAAAGGCAAAAAAAAAAAAGAAAAAAGAAAAGAAATTGCTCTTGATTGCTGAGCCATCTCTCCAGGTCCTCAAATTAATTTTCTAAAAAAGCTTGGCACCTGCACTCATGTGCATATACCTACACACACCCACACACATACACATGAATTTTAGAAATAGGGCTGAATAGATGGCTCAGTGGCTAAGAGCGTGAACCAGAGTTTGGATCCCGGCACCCACATCAGGAGGCTCACAACTCTAGCTCCAAGGGTCCCATGTCTCCTTCTGACTTCTATGGGCACTTACAAGCACACATACACATAAATAAATCTTAAAAATAAACGGGTTGGAGAGATGGCTCAGTGGTTAAGAGCACTGTCTACTCTTACAAAGGACCTGGGTTTGAATCCCAGCACCCACATGGCAGGTAACAACCATCTGTAACTTCATTTCCAGGGGATCAGATGCCCTCTTCTGAACCTCCATGGGCATTGCACAACATAGTGCACTTACATGCAGGCATAACACTCATACACATAAAAATAAATCCCCCCCAAATTCAAAAACAAATAAACTAAAAATTAAATAAGTAAAAAACTCGAAGGGGAGCTGGAGAGATGGCTCAGTGGTTAAGAGCACTGTCTGCAAATCTGCAAATCCCAGCACCTACATGATGACCAACAACCATCGATAACTCCAGTTCCAGGGTATCGACGTCCTCTTCTGTCCTCCGTGGGCACTGCATGACACAGGTGCACTTACATGCAGGCAAAACACTCATACACATAAAAATAAATTTTTAAAAATTTCTTAAAAAGAGCTTGAAGGGGGTCTCTGGTGCCCATGACCAGAATGAAGACAGTCACAGAGGATCATAGTCCCAAAGTCCGTGTACTCTAAAACCCCAAACTTACGTTCTCAGGGTGGGCAGAATCTGCAGTGCTCATAGACAGAGGGTGTGGGACCTGACACTGGAGGAATGCAAAGCTCTTCAAACAGCTGTGGCCTAACGGTGACAGAGGTCCAACAGTTGCTCTGTTGTATGTGAGCACAGGGGTCAATGGTGCTAACATGGCTATAGGCACTGAATTGTGCTGGAGAGGAGGCACCTGGCATCTACCTCATGGCAGGTGTACCAAGAACTTCCACTTCCCTTCTAATGGGCTGCTTGGGTTCTGCACTCTTCAGGTTGCATAGGGGGAAATTACTGCTCAGAGAGGTGAAGAGACCTGTTCAAGATCACACAGTGCCAGAGTGCTCAAAGTTGTTTAACAGCAAAGTCTACAATCCTTCCATAACCCTGGTTCATAGAAAAGTATCTAACTCTGCTTTCAAAGCAACTTCCTACCCATTTTACAGATGGACCAGCCAAGGTCCTAAACTGGCCCTGCAGGTGAGGCCCGCTCGGGTAATCAGAGTGAGTCTACAGTGCAACTGGCCCAAGCCACAGGAGCCCACAAAACTGGCTCTGGGTTCTCTGACAGCTGCTGTAGGTGCACGGGTGCACCCTGGGGAGCTGCAGTCCAGGCCCGGTTTTGCACAAGGCCTTGCTGAGGTGTTTCCTCCTCCTCCTCCACCTCCTCAGGCTGGGGCGAGTCAGCCTTAGTCCCTCATGGGCTCTTCTGGCCCCTGAAACTCCTTCCTGGAGAGCTGGAGTTGCCTGGGAAGGTGTTCTCCACTACTGGACCCTTACAGGTAACACATCTCCACTGCCACCTGGGGTCCTGGGCACCCTTTGGCACCTTGGAAGCTTGGGGTGGGGGAGGTGAGAGCAAGTCTAAGACTCTCATGTGGCCTGGCAGATTGAGGACCCTTTTATCACCAAAGGGTAGTGATACAGGGTGAGGAGAGCCACGATCTTGACTTACGTCTGAAAGGAAAGAGAACTTCAGGAGGACAGACTCTGGTCTTCAATTCCCCAGCCTAGTCCAAGCAGACCCATAAGACAAGGTCAGGCACAGTTCTGCCGAATGTCCCCTCACCTTCACACGCAGGCACAATTACATGCACACGCACACACACACTCATGGTGGTCCACGGGCACTGAGTACACACCATGACATACACCCCGGGCTGGCAGACAGACCATACAGGAGGAAATGCACACTGTGAACACACCCACATGGCACTGTCCCCCAGAAAGTCACTGCACCTTACCATCAACAATCATCAGTCACGTAGCGTCACACAGCAACCACATTCAGGCACATACTACACAGGCTCATGGACCCCTGACACACAGGTATGCCTGTCACACTAATGAAGTACAACACAGCACAGGGACGCTTGTACACCATGCCACAGAACAGCCCCAAGCTGTATGTGTGTGTAATAGCCAGCACTGCAGGCACAGCAGTTCAGGGATGGTGTCACTGTCGGCACACAGCACACAACATCCAGGGTTATGTGGATACAGAAACCCCAGGCTCCCTGGAGGGGGAAGCCGGGAAGAGAGAAAGCTTACTGTGCTTGGACACTGACTCAGCTGGGAGGGAACAGGGGCAGGAGGCGACAGGCACAAGTCAGGACCTGCCTCTGAGTCTCCCTCTCCCCACCTCAGCCCCACCTCAGCCCCACCTGGAGGCTTGGCATGGAAGGGGTGGGGAAGAAAGGAGAGAACGCCCCCTAGGCTCAGGCCTGGGCCACTACTGAGTGCTGGGCTCTTGCCACGTCCACACGCCCCTCTCAGCTGGCACTATTTTCCTTCCGGAGTCGCTGTGGTTCCTGGGCATGAACTGCTCTACCAGCTGAGGCCTCCAGCCAGGTCTTGAAGTAGGGGGTTGGGTAGCCCTGTGGTCAGATCAGAGGGGCCCAGGAGCTCCTAGCAAGAGGCCAGGACTGATGGCGGGGAATCCCAGGCAGGACTGGTGGCCTCAGTGGCAGTGGGTGCTGTGGTTATCTTGGTGGGGGAGGAAGTTGGAGGTGAGGGCTGGGGAGGAGGCTGCCTCAGACAGGAAGGCCAAATGGGCCAAGGCAGGGTGGAGGGAGGTGAAGGTGGAGGCAGGCCAATCGGGAGGTTCCCTGGGTAGGGGGTGAGCGTGGGTGGGAGGGTATGTGCGGATCCCCATGTTTGTGCAAGTATATTTTTGCATTTCATTAAGCACCAGGTATCTGTTGTGTACAAAGTACTGACTGAGGGAAATTACTTATCCTTAGCTTCTAGGAGTTCACAACCCAGTTAAACAGGCAGTATGTGTGAGCAAAAGTCTGAGGGATTTGTGCATACGAAAGACCATGTTTTTTTACAGGCTTATTCTTGTATGGGTGAGTCCCTGTCTCCTTTGTGTGTCCCCCATCCCAAGCTTCCAAAGTGCCAGCGGGTGCCCAGGACAACATTGTGTGCAGGTTTCAAAATCCATGTGCACAGCTCTTGGGCATGGGTCTGTGCCTGTGTCTGGTTGAGTCCCTTCATGGGAGATGTGTGTGCATGTACCTGTCTTTGTCCAGGTATTATGAGTGTACACATATGACCATGGGTGGAGCACTGGGTGCACATATCTATGTGTGTCATCTTGTCTTTGTCTCACTACCTCGGGGCGTGTGCATCTGTGTCTCCGTGTACTTGTTTTGTTTTGGTTGTGAGACAGGGTCTCCCTGTAGGCCCAGCTGGCCTGGAACTCGTTATGTAGACTAGGCTGGCCTTGATCTCATAAAGCTCGCCTGCCTCTGCCTCCCGAGTGCTGGGACTAAAGGTGTGCGCCACCACGACCCACTTCTCTGTGTACCTCTTTGAGAGTGTCCCTCATACCTCACTTCACCTAATCTCAGCCTTCCTGGAGTTGTACCCTAACTACTACTTGGGCACACGTTTGGAGGAAAACTGGCAGTTGGCTCCAGGATATGTGTGCATTTGGGAAGAGACTGATCTGACCCTTGGTCTGTCCCCAGGAAGTCACATATGCCCAGCTGGGACATAGCTCCAGCTGATGCCCCGGAGAGGCCATCCATCTCAGGAGAGGCTTTGGGCCTTGCCCCCCACCCCCATGGCACATGGGCCAGAACCTGAAGCTGAGGGACTGTTGGACCTCAGCTTCCTGACAGAGGAGGAGCAGGAGGCCATCACCGACGTCCTCAAACGAGATGCCCGTCTGCGCCAGCTGGAAGAGGGACGGGTCAGGTGAGGCAGGCCAGCCACCAACCAGGAGGAAGGGGCTGCCTGATGTCTGAGTTGTCCTTGGCGTTACCCTTTGGTCCCCAGCTGACCTTGGCCAGCTCAGAGCTTATCACTTTTCTGAGCATGGTGTGCCAGCTCCCCCTCAAACGTCCCTGCCTCTGGGCTTTCCTACTCTGGCCACCATCTTGGCACAGGACACCTTGGTGAACAGACCCACCTGTCCTTAATACCCTGCAGAAACCTTCCCCAGTTCCTAGCACCTAGTGTGAAACACATGATCCATAGGTCCACACCAATCCCCATCTCATCTTTCCCCATGAGCCCTACCCAGACATACATCACAGTACCAGCTGGCTTCAGCCACACATCCCCAGTCCCTGAACACCCTCCATTTCCAAGCCTGAGCTGTTCATTCTTCCCAGAACAGCAGTGGCAGAATGATGAGCAGTGTCTGAAGACAGACACTTGCTACTGTGTAACCTTGGGCAACTTACCTGACCCTGAGCCTTGCTTTCCTCACCTAAAATAGGGCTAAAAGAACTGGGGAGACAGCTCAATTGGTAAAGTACTCACTGCATAAATTTGAGGACCAGGGTTCAGGTCCCCAGCACCCACATAAATGCTGGGTAGGCATGGTGGCTACCCATAACTTAGTGCTTGGATGGTGGTAATTGTGGATCCCTGAAGCAAGTTGGTTAGCTGAACTGGCCAAATCAGTGAGCTCTGGGTTCAAGAGAGAGACTTGGCTTCAAAATACAAAATAGAGAATGATCAAGGATATCAAAGATCAATCTCTGACCTCCACATGTACATGCGCATACATGTCATGCACGTGCACACATGTGAACCCGCATACATATAAACATGGGCATTATAGCGCACCTCTGTAACCCTAGCACTAAAGGGAGGGTAGAGACAAGCAGAACCCTCAAGCCTGTCAGTGAGCTCCAGGTTCAGTAAGAGACTCTGGCTCAAAAAATAAGGTGGAGAGTAATCAAAGAAGACACTGGGCTGGGCGTGGTGGCATATGCCTTTAATCCCAGCACTCGGGAGGCAGAGGCAGGTGGATCTCTGCAAGATCAAGGTCAGCCTGGTCTACATAGTGAGTTCTAGGCCAGCTGGGGCTACAGGGAGACCCTGTCTCAAAACCAAAACAAGAAGTACACAGTGACACAGATGCACATATATACCTATACATGCAAAAAGTAAAATAAAATATGCAGACATGGTCCATAATAAATGCTTGATGAACCATAATTCATATGCATTTCAACCTGGAGAATTCCAATGTATCCTTTAGGAAGCTATTCAAATATCAGCTCCCCTGGGAAGCCTTCTAGGATTCCCACAGAGAAACCTGGCCCTTCCTCCCTTTATCACTGTATGTGTCTATTCTGGATTCTGGATTCTATCTCCTCAGCAGCCTGAGCAACTCCAGGGCAGGGGTCAAGTGTGATTTGCTGTTGAATCCCTGGTCCCTAGTACAGACTGGGTATCAAGAATGTTGCTTGGGGGCCAGGTGTGGTGGCACATGCCTTTAATCCTAGAACTCTGGAGGTAGAAGCAGACAGATCTCTGTATAATCAAGGCCAGCCTGGTCTACATAGTGAGTTCCAGGCCAGCTGGGGCTATAGGGAGACTCTGTCTCCAAAACAACAACAAAAAAGAATGCTGGTTGGGTGAGTAGTGAGCCATGCCCCCCACTATCCTCCAGCAAGCTCAGGGCTTCACTGGCAGACCCTGGGCAGCTGAAGATCCTGACTGGGGACTGGTTCCAGGAAGCACGCTCCCAGCGGCATCACCACACCCATTTTGGTTCCGACCTTGTCAGAGCCTCTATCCGCAGGAAGAAGAGCTCCAGGGGTGAGAGGAGGACACCCCAGGGCGGGCAGGGCAAGCTTTGGGCAGCTGAGGGTGCCCAAAGACCGTAAAGAGAGCGTCCTGGGTGCCAATCCTGGCTGCCTCATACTGTGTCTGCATGGGCCTGCCCCTCTGTGCGCTGTGGGAGGTGGATGGGCATCTCCTGTGGGTCAGGGTTAGGGTCAGACTTCTTGGGAATGGAAACTCACAGAAGTTCTCACCTGAGTCCAGGAGACCAGGCTCTGGGAAGTGACGGTGAGGCAGAGGCTTTTGAGAAAGACACTGAAGAGCCAGAGGCCAGGTAAGGACACAACAGGGAGGAAAGGGGGACTGCCAGCTACCCGGCCCTGAAAACTCTGGCTCCCTCCTTCTAGGATCCCCACAGAGGTGACTGCTCAGAAGAGGCACAGTGTGAGCCAAGTAAGTATCCTGGACTGAGTGAACTAAGAGCAAGCACTGTACTCCCAAATGGAGGTGAATGTGCCAGGGAAGGAGCCCCCACCCCTGGGGATTGGAAGACCTAGCTATATCCCTTCTGTGCTCTGAACCTCAGTGTCCTCCTTAGTTAGCTGATGGTCTGAACCTGGCCTCTAAGGCAATTTCCAAATCCAGCCATTAAGAATGAGGATGTAGCTTACCTAGTATGCACAAAGCCCTGGGTTTGATCCCCAGCACCACATAAACCTGGCATGATGGTACACACCTGTAATCCCAGTACTCAGGAGATGGAAACAGGAGGATTAGGAGTTCAAGGTCATCCTCTGCTATTCACTGGGTTGAAAGCCAGCCTACTTACTACAAGACACCCTGTCTTGGAAAAAAAAAAAGAAAGAAAAAGAGTGGGTGAGGATGAACTGGTTGCACTGAAGCCAGAGACTCACATGTTACTGTCCCCCCAACTGGAGCCTGGCAGTCAGGCTGGCCTATCAGGAGGGGCAGGCCCTGAGCTGCCAGGGTGTGAAGTACAGGCCTGACTGGTCCTGCAGCTGGTTGCCAGCCCTGCCCCGGGGGCAGCCCTATTCTACAGCTGAAGTAAGCAGCCTGGAGTCTCTGACCTCTGACCCCAGCATAACCTTCAACCCCTTGCTCTTTAAGCCCCACTGTGACCTCTACCCTTTGCTTTCTTGAGGGACCTGATTTCCCTTCACCATATGCACCCTCAAAGACTTCAGATCATGAGAAGCCCCAGGGCCAGGAAGGTATGTGGGAACATGTGTCGGGCAGCCTATTGGGTCCAGGGGATCAGAGGAAGCTCTTAAGAGACTCCAACCATCTTCATCCTCTCGCTGGGGGCTCCAAGGGGCCTTCATGGGCAACCCCAGGGCGCCCTTGGGGCCTGAAGCTGCAGATCACCAGGGTTGTGAGCTAGTCCCTCCAGGTCTGCTCAGGGACCCACAGGAGAGGGGCTAAGCAGTGTGTCGCTCACTCCAGCCCCTGGCCCAGGGCGCGTGCAGGTGGCGGAGGCGGACCCAGAGCTGGACCCTGTCCAGCGGGCGGAGCCGGAGCCACAGCCCCCGCCAGCCCAGGTAGGCGGGAGTAGCCTGTGGTTGCTCTCAAGACCGGGAGCGGATCGGGCCTGCCCCGGGATGGGAGCCGTCAGCGACTTGACGGGTCACCAGGAAGGTGCAGAGAAGTAGCGCGCACTCCTGTCACTTCTCCCCTCTCCAGATCGAGGTGACCTCCGAGATCCTGGAGAACGGGGAGGAGACCCCGGGGCTCGACCCCTCCCTCGACCGCATGCTCAGCACCAGCTCCTCCGTGTCCAGCCTCAACTCCTCCACGGTGAGGGGTTAGGGAGGAGTTGGGTGCTTCTCTGCCCCGGATCCTTACACCTAGCTCTGAGGGTCCCCCTCACCCCGGGATCCGACCTCCCCAACGTCCAGGCAAGCCACCACGAGGTGTCCCTTGCCTCTTCCCTGGCATTCTCCACTTGCCCTGACTGTGGAGCCTGGGTACAGCCCTGACCTCTCACCCTCGCCCGCAGCTGAGCGGCAGCCTGATGAGCCTGTCCGGGGAGGTGGAGGCAGGCGGGGTGCTGGTGCGGGGCGCCGTGCACTTCGCGCTGAGCTACGAGCCGGGCGCTGCGGAGCTGCGTGTGCACGTTATCCAGTGCCAGGGCCTGGCCGCAGCCCGGCGTCGCCGCTCGGATCCGTGAGTGCCCACCCCGCTAGATGGGCTGCGGGCACCGCAGGGGAGGGCGCCCCAAACCCAGCCTACCACTGCACTGTCCATGCCTCAGTTTCCTCGTCTTCAAGATGGGCCGATCAACGTTCTCGGGAGGCGTTAGGGAATGTCTATAAATTAGCGCGAGGCCTGGCGTACAGGGCGCAGGGTTCTGGATGGTGGCTGGGGAAACCCCCAGAACTAGAGGAAGGCTCTGGAAACGCCCCTCCTCACCTCGGACCTTCACCTTCCACGCCCCAGCTACGTGAAAAGCTACCTCCTTCCGGATAAGCAGAACAAACGCAAGACATCGGTGAAGAAACGGAATCTGAATCCGATCTTCAACGAGACTCTCCGGGTGAGGCTACTAGGGGTGAGCCCCCCCTTTTGCGGGGCGCGCCAGCCACCTAACTTTGCTGGTGGCTCTAGGCCTCGGTTTTGCGGGAGGACAGACATGACAGTGGGTTCCCCACGTCCGCAGTTGGTGCTGGCCCGTGATGGTCCAGGCCCCAGTTAATGAGACCCAGGATTCCATCCTGGTAGGAGTGTGGCAGAACCAGATCCAGTTAATGTGCGTGCCACACTAATGCCAGGGCCACTAGCGCGCCGCACTAAAGCGCACCTCCTTTCCCCAGCACTCCATCCCGAAGGCCGAGCTCCCCGGCCGCGTGCTGAGCCTGTCCGTGTGGCACCGCGAAAGTCTGGGTCGCAACATCTTTCTGGGTGAAGTTGAAGTGCCCCTGGACACGTGGAACTGGGACTCCGAGGCTACCTGGCTTCCCCTGCAACCCCGGGTAAGGTGGCCTGGCTGATATGGGGGTGGTCACAGATCTGCCTTTACTCCAATCTGCATCTTCAGACCCTGCCTTCAACAGAGCCTCAGCCCCACCACCTACCTTTACTACCTTAGACCAGGTTGGCCCACCAGGGCGCCCCATCCTGGGAAGGGTTGCCCCTCTAGCCCTCTGTGGAGGCCTGGTTCCCAATGCCCTCCCCAACCACATCTGAATGGACTCTGGAGACACCACCCCTTGGAGGTCCTTTCCCTCCAGCTGCCCCTCCACTGACCAGCACCCACCCCTGGCTCTTGCAGGTTCCCCCTTCTCTGGATGAGCTTCCCAGCCGTGGACTGCTCTCTCTATCCCTCAAGTATGTCCCTGCCGGATCAGAGGGTGAGTGACAACTACAACTATGTAAGACTCCAAGTTGTCTGGCCAAGAGATGGCCCTGTTCCAGGAGGAAGGGCCCTGAGCTGAGTGTTTCTGCAGGAGGGGGACAGCCTGTGAGTGGAGAGCTGCACTTCTGGGTGAAGGAAGCTCAGGACCTTGTGCCACTACGCTCTGGATCCCTGGACACTTACATACAATGGTGAGGGAAGGTTCCCAGTCTCTGACCAACCTGTCCCTACAACTAGGACCAGCCAGCCTGGTCTTTAATCAAGGAGCAGGGGTGAAGAAATCAGTTGGGGCAAAAGGTTGGAGGCAGGGAAATTGAGAGGCTGCATTTTGCAGTGACTGTTGTACCTGTTGGACTTACTGTGGAACTGAAGCTGTAATGGGAAGACCACAAGGGGCCCCTCCATGGGGATGTTGGAAAGCCCAACTGTGAGACTTGGCCTTGAACTTGTGGTTCAGTGGGTTGTTGTTTTTGTCTTTTCAAAGTGCTGGGGATTGAACCCAGGGTTTCAGGCATACTAAGCAAATGCTCTACCACTGATCTACATCCTCAGCCCTAGTGTTTTTCAAACACTAGGGAATCTCTAGGATTGTTTCCAGGTGCCGCTTCAACACCACCACCACTGCCACCCCCACTGAGAGTGAAATGGGCAGGCCACTCTGATTCTAGGTTCCTATTCTGTTTTCCTTTCAGTTATTGTACATAAGAGTAATATCTTATTTTGTAGAAAGGGTTCTGAGGCTTTGGAAATCAATGGGGGTGGAGAGTGGGGAGCCAATGAAGGTCACTGAGCCAGGAAATAGCACAGTTGCATTTCAGAGACATCTCTCCGGGGTCCTGTGAGCAGCTGAAAATTTCAAGGTAAAAGACCTAACAGAAGGCTGGTGAAAGGTCCCAGGACAGAGAGAGCTGGAGATCCCATCCCAGGCAGGGGCTAGGGAACCTGAACATATGAAAGGATAGGATACATTGATTGGCTGGCTGTAGAGGGTGTGAGGGGCTAGGTCACCTAATACCAACCCACCACTTATTCTTCACAGCTCGGTGCTGCCTGATGACAGCAGAGCCAGCCGGCAACGTACAAGAGTGGTTCGACGTAGCCTCAGCCCTGTGTTCAATCATACTATGGTTTATGATGGCTTTGGGCCTGCTGACCTGCGCCAGGCCTGTGCTGAGCTCTCCCTGTGGGACCATGGAGCCCTGGCCAATCGCCAGCTGGGGGGCACACGCCTCAGCCTGGGTACAGGTAAGCAGGGCAGGGCACTGAGGGAGCCAAGCTTCAGGAAAGGGACTCAGCGTGTGCTCAGGTCCTTACATGAGCTCTATCCACAGAAAAATGGGGGTGACTGGACATAGTGCATAATATGGGACCACAGGTTTTCTTAGGACCTGAGGTATCTAAAATGACAGTACCTTCCACCCTGACCCTCCTACATTCAGGCAGCAGCTATGGGCTCCAGGTACCCTGGATGGATTCCACACCCGAAGAGAAGCAGCTGTGGCAGACACTCCTGGAGAGGCCATGTGAGTGGGTGGATGGCCTTCTACCCCTCAGAACAAACCTGGTCCCCAGAGCGTAGCCCTACCAAACCCCTCCTTGGACCACTCCCAGAGCACACCCATGGCTGAAATCAATAAAGTCTATTCAAAGGCAGTAAGGGGCTTCCGTCTACTGGGAAGGTGTGAGGACCCAGGGAATACAAAAGCATCACTCAGACATGGAGCCCTCAAGGGTCTGCTCCTTGGACCCCTTCCCCACTCCTGAACTTTCCAAGACAAACACAGGTAGTGAAGTGGTTTTTTTTTAATAGCCTTTGGTTGTATGTAGTGTGCTTGGGTGCCTCAGTAGTTAGTGCTACCCACTGGGGCTAGGCCTGGGCTCTGGAGTTGCTTCTGGGTCCTGGGACAGGTATGTTAGAAGCTGTTTGTATCTTCTCCATTAATCCATCCATGGATGTGTCCTGCCTCTGATGTACTCACTCAGCCTCCCGGGGTCCCGGGGTAACTGGTCTGGATCCTGCTCGCTGTGCCAAGATAGCTCTCCAAATTCGGCATACCATCCCTCCCCTGGGGACAGTGGGGCTCAATGTGACTCAGCTGGAAAGAGGCCTGGACTTCCTCTATTAAACCACTGCCTGCCCAGTGCCCCACTGTCCACTATATACAGGGGACCTTGGTGACCCTGTGGATTCTAGGGAGGAATCTAGGCAGGCCCACATCTGGGGGGAGGGGGCAGTCATGATCTAGCCAGCATGAGACCATGTGCATGGTTCATATCTGGAGGGCCCAGGGTGTACCTGATTTGGGTGTAGTGGAGGTCATCTTGAGTGGCACAGGTGAGCAGGGCTTTCAGGGTGAAGCTGTGGTTCACCAGCTGGTTGTGAACAGAAAAAGGGAGAGATTAAAATTACAAAAAGATACATCAAGAAACTCAGGTACTAGCTTCTTTCTACTAAAATTCTAAGGCAAGTCACCTCCCCTTTGTGGACTCAGTTTCCCCATTTGTACAATGGGAGGGGCAGACTAAGAGCTCTTCCAGAGACTTTGGTAGGGGTCGGGGATGACTGGCACACTCCTGCTTACCGTTTGGATGGTGGCTGGGTCAACACTTAGTTCCTGTAGCCACTGTACCAGGCTCTGGTCCTTTGGGAGAGAGGCTGTCAAGAGATCAGGTGACAAGTCCAGAGGTGTCCACTGCTAGAGGCTGCCCTACATTCCCCACTAGTGTTCTCCAGTCAGGCCTGCTCACCCGGGAGCTCTGAAGCCAGGGCATAAATCCTGGCATCTTCATTCACACGATGTAGTGCCTCGTGCACTAGGGCCTGGCACTCCCGTTCCTTCGCAGCCAGGACATCTCGAAACCTGTGGGAAGGCAGAGGGGGGTAGAATGGAGTGACTCACGGGTTCAAGCCTATGCAGATTATTCGGGTGATTCCAGGTGGCTTTACCTGTCAGTCTCAGCTCTCAAGAGTCCTAACTGCACTATCAGAGGTGGAAGCTTCTGTTCTGGCTCCGGCGGGCTCTGCAGAAGCTGGCTCTCCTGCTGCTTCTGCTGAGAAGCCCCTTCTTTACTCCATTCCTCTGACCTCGGTGAGACCAATTTCTTCTCCACGTCTGCCAATCCGAGTAGGCTGAGGTCAGGCTGGGCTACCCACCCTTTGGGATCCCAGACAGCCAAGGAGATTGGAGGAGGCACTTGGCCCCTAACAGCTCAATTTTTGTTCGTCATACCCCCAGGGTCACATCCTAGGGCCACACCCCCAGGGTCACACCCAGGGCCACACCCACCTGTGTCCAACACCGCCAGTGCCGCACGCACGGTGCGGCTGAGCAGCGAGTCCAGCACGAACATCCAATGTGGGCGGATCTGGCGCCTTCGGAGGATCTGCTTCACCTGGAGCGTGAGAGAGGGCGCGGCTGAGACTGGTGAACCCCAAAGAGAGGTGGGGCTTGAGTTGGAAAGGCCTAGAAAGTCTTCTGCCGCCGGCCAAGAGAGACGGGTGAACTTGGGGGTCAAGGGCGCGGCTGGGAAGCTAGGACTGGCCAGACATGCGTCGTCTTCAGGGTGTACACGGAATCTTGGAACATCAAGTCCTTGCAGAGAGCTCAGGACTTCTTATTGGGCAGCTCTGATTGCAAAGAAGCTCCCTCACCGCGTCTGGAAAGGCGAATAGTGGTCCATTCAAAAGCGCAGGCCCGAGGCCCTGGGCCCACAGCTGCGCTTGCAGCGCCCGCAGGTCCTGGGCCAACTGCCGGCGGTTGGGAGTGTGGATGTGTGCCCTGAGGCAGCGAAGCAGCTGGTCCACATGATTCCTGCTCAGGCGGGAACCCTAAGAAGAAGAAGGCGATCAGCGAGTGCTCCCATCTGAGCCAGGAGAGATGCTTGTGGATGGACCAGGAGAGGCTTTAACCCAGATCGACCGCCAGGGGGCGCTGGGGCGGGCCGCCCACCTGTTCTTGCTCTAGAAGATTTTCCGCCAGCATGGGCAGCTCCTGTTCCAGTACCGCAGCCAACATGGCCCTGCGCTTGCTCTCCTGGTGTAGCAGACTCAACCCCGAACTCTCTTCCGGGGACGCGGGCTCTTCGGCTGCGGGCTCCTCAGGCACCCTGGGCGCAATGGGGAGCAGCTGATGGAGGGTGGGCAACACCACTACAACCTCTGCTGCAGAGTTTGAATCCTGCATAACCATGTGCCTACCTAACGCCAGGGATAACAGGCATTAAACCCAACTGGTGGGGCAGGGTAAATACAAGTTGGGGCATCTGGGAGAGGGCAGAAGGTAACAGATGCCACCCTTGCAAGTGGTCAGAGTGTCCAGGTCCCCAGGGAGAGCTTATTCTGGAGGAAATGAATACAAAGTCAAAACCAGATGAAAGGACCCCACTCCAGGACCCCACGCACTCACCGGAGTTGGCTGGTGTCTCCATAACTGAGGCAGCGCTTTGGGGGACTGGGTGAGTGCTGAGAGGGTGCCTGGGGCCGTGGGAATGTCTGGGACTGGGTGGCTGAGACAGGTGATGGACTAGAACCAGCTGAAGGAGCACCTGAGGGAAGACTAAGCTGTTAATCCTCTCACCTCTACAGCACTTCTCCCTCCACTGTGCTCACCCTCTCCTCCCCCATAGCACCTGACAGCCGGGGCCCATGGCGAGGAGCGCCAAGGCTGCGGCTCCTCTTTCCAGGCTGCAGGAAGGGATCTCCCAGCAGCTCTTGGGCACTTGCTCGGAGTCGGGGATCTGGCTCAAAAGTTCGGAGGAGGAAGGCTTGGGCTTCAGCTGACAGAGAGCTGGGCATTGGTGGATGCACCTTGTACATGCCCACCTATGGAGGAGGGATGGGGAGGACAATCCCAAAAGTCAAGATTAGAGGTGTCCAAGGCCTTATCTAGCTCCACACACCCCAGAGGGTCTCACCTGGAACATAGCAGCCTGCGGACTCCCTAGTTCATGGAAGGGTGGGCGACCTGTGGCCATCTCAATCACAGTGCAGCCCAACGACCAGATGTCAGCTGCCTTCCCATATCCTCGGGGACCCTGGTCAATGATTTCTGGGGCCATATACTGCAGAGTCCCTGGAACAAAAATATGAACAACAGGCTAGGCATGGTGATGCACACCTTCATGTCCAGCATTTGGGAGGCGGACCTCTGTGAGCTTGAGGCCAGCCTGGTCTATATAGCAAGTTCCAGGCCAGCTGGGGCTACAGGGAGAGCCTGTCTCAAAAAAAAAAAAAAAAAAAGGAACAATGCAATGTCTCTAGGCTTTACTGCAAGAGTGGGTGTGTCTCCATCATCCTCTGGCCATCTAAACCCATGGTGAGCCTCTCATCCCAAACAGATACCTATCAGATACCATCGGATACCTATCTTGAGTTTCTCATCCACCCCAGGCTCCATCACCTGCCAAGCTTCCATCCTTCATGCTAGACTGTACCACATTCATCGAATTCATGGGCTCCCTTACCCATAGGAGGGTTCCATTGTGTATCTAATATTTCACCACCCCACACACACACATTTCACACACCTCCCAACATATACTTTAGCTTGCATCAACACTCTTAAGTTCCATTTTAGGTGCTAAAATCAATTTCATCCGTTATCCAAAGTTCGAATTCTAGACTTCATCCCCTTAACCCAGGTCCAGTGACCTGTCCTGGGTTCCATCTTCCATTAAAACTATAACTCCATGCCCAGAAGAAAGCCTACATCCCAGAAGTCTCCAAGAGTTCTACATCCCCCACTCAAACCCCATACCCTATTACCTGTGAAGGTCTCGGTGCAGGGTGTGATGCCTGCCAGTCGCTTGGAGGTGCCAAAGTCAGAAATCTTGAGCAGTCCACTGAAGGTGTTGATCAGTACATTGTCCCCCTGATTGGAGTGAGCATTATGCTTTGTAGACATTGTGATGGCCCCTGGTACAGAACTGGAACCTCATCCTGGGACCCCCATCTCCTGGGCATTACAGCCTGATCCAGCCACTACAAGGTCCTCTCCCATTCATCCGATGTATATGCCCCTGGTGCCTGATCTGGTTTCAGACCTGAACTTCTCTCCTTTAAGGAATCTCCCTGATGAATCTCTCTTACCAAAGAGTTCTCTCTCTCTCTCTCTCTCTCTCTCTCTCTCTCTCTCTCTCTCTATATGTCTTAAACTATTTTATTATTTTTATTTTATATGTCTTTTTGAGACAGGGTCTCCCTGTAGCCCCAGCTGGCCTGGAACTCACTACATAGACCAGGCTGGCCTTGAACTCACAGAGATTTGCCTGCCTCTGCCTCCCAAGTGCTGGGATCAAAGGTATGCATCACCATGCCCAGCTTTCTCTCTCTCTCTTTTAAGAAAGAGTCTCCCTTGAACTCTCTATATAGACCAAGCTGGCATCCATCTCACAGAGATCTGACTACCTCTGTATTGCTGGGCTTAAAGGCATGCACCATCATCATGCACAGCTGGGTTTGCTCTCTTACACCAAACTGCCAGCCTCAGTCTGGCACCATGTCTCCCTACCCACAGCAGGACAAATGGACCACCCTTAATGTCTGACCTTAATGTCTCGGTGCACAATGCGGTTCTCATGCAGGTAACTGAGTCCCTGCAGGATCTGCCGTGTGTAGAAACTAATAGTGCTCTCATTGTCCTTTAGGGGTCCCCACACTGACCGAAGCAAGGAGGACAGGCTGCCTGGACAGAGACAATCCAAGTTCATGGTTCATACCCACTTATTTCACCCACATTCCTCTGCTCAAGGGCCAGGCACACCCATTCCCGTGACCCAGACTCCATCGTTAAACCCACTCTGTCAGCTAATTCTAGGCAACACCACCCACGCTAGGGTTCATTTCCCCTTAGGGTTCTCCACCCTTGGCTTGGCTCCATTCCCATGCCCCACACCTCAGGTTTCACTTCCCTCCCACGCAGGCTGGTACCTCCAGGTACTTCCTCCATGAAGATCTTGAGGTAGCCACCCTGGCTGGCTGAACCCAGATAGCGCACGATATTCTTGTGGCGAAGGCGTTTGTGAAGAGCGATCTCTTCATGCAGGGGCTGAGAGAACCTGGGGTTGTAGGAGAGAGCAGTGTGCCAGATTTGAGCAGAGATAATTTCCCACTGTCCTGTACATGCTCCCAGGATCCACCTTGCCTAGAAGCCCTGTGCCAACCTTCTGCACTTACATCGCCCCACCCACAGTCCCCCTGCACCTGCCCTACTGTAAGGCCCACCATCCCCAGTCTGCAGTCCATCCAGCTGGAGCTTTCCAATCCTTAACCGATCTATCTTTTCTTATCAACAGTCCCTTCCGTAGATACCACTCAGCTCCCTTCCCTGTCCCCCCCAATCCACCCTCACCCCCCTCCCTCTGCTTGATCTACTCATGTCTGCCCTGAGCCCCTGAACCCCTGTGATCTAATGTATCGTACCTGCTGTCTCGCTCTGGGATCTCCTTGATAGCAATGCGTACCCTCGTGTGTCGATCACGGCCTGCGTACACTACCCCATATGTGCCCTTGCCCAGCACCAGCCGCTCACCAGTCTCTGAGTATTCATAATCAAACTGGGGAGGGTGGGCAGAGAGTACTGGGCTCAGCAGAGCCCTCAGCCCTTAGCCCTCCTCAAGTCCCAAGTCCCTCCTCACCTCCAGCACCTCCCTTACACCCTCTGTCTCCTCAGTGGGCACCAAAGAATCTGGATTTGTCACCAAGGTCTGGATCAGGCCGCAGAACCTGAGGGGCAGTTGAGGTCAAACAGACTGAAGGGGCATCTAGACAGGAACCATGTCCAGGAGCCCCTGGCAGACATCATCCCATCCTATCCCTCATTCCCCTGGGCGTCCCAGCCCCAACCCAGAAAGGCCCAGCGCACCACTGGCAGCGCTCAACACTGGGAAAGCACAACTGGACGTCCTGGGCCGGAGGAAGTGCGTAAAGGAAGCAGCAGCGCTCATCCAGCTTGGAGGAGCTAGGGAAGGGTACAGAGGCCAGTGAGTCCAGGCCTGGCAGTGCCAGCGCCTGCCCACAGGTTCTGCCTCTTACCTGACCCCGCAGATGGAGGCAATTGGGAGGGTCCAGCTGGAAGGATCATCCTGTGAGAAGAAAGGGGGATTCTGTGAATGTGCTGAGACTGAAGATCGGGGAGAAAGGTTCTCTGGGAAGAAGTGTGTAGCGGTGAGGGAGGGAGGGAGCTCAGTAGTTCACCTGGGTCTCTGGCTCCAGCAAATTTAAGGTCACTGCACTCACTGAGTCTGAACCCTGAATCTCAAGACTTGCAGGGAGCAGCACTTTGTTCATCTCCAGGACCAACACCTTTGAGCAGTGGGGGAAGAGGGGGTCTGTCAGAATGGGACTGCCCACTTCCTGGGTCCCCCTAGTCCCACTGGCCTCACCAGGCACTGGTCCACCTGGGGAGAGGCTGTCTTGAAAGGTTGGCAGGATTGTAGCAAGAAATGAAGCCAGAAGTGAGCTCGCAGCAGGGGTCCTCCTGAGGGCTCTGGTGTGGGTCTGAAGTGCTGGTAGAGCAGGAAGGTTTCCATCACTGATACCAAGTACCTGAAGGCACAACCTTGCCCTCAGCTCAGCCCAGACACCAGCTGGCACTTCCAGATTAGATGTAGTTGGAACATGGGCACTGAGTACCATGGGCACTGATGGGGTCATGGCTTGGGAGCAGCAATGGACAGAGGTGCAGGAATGAAGGGGGCCACCTACCATATAGGAGCGTTGAGCTTGTACAGTTTCTCTGCAGCCAGCACCACCTGGGTGGGGTCATTGGCAAGGATCTGGGCTCCCAAGTAGAAACCCACATCCCAGTAATACTGCATCTTCTCCACACAGCCTTTTCGAGCTAGTAGGCAGCCCAGCTTCATGCCTAGGGGAGAGGGACATGGGCTCCAGTGAATGTGGGTGCAAAGGTAACTAAGGCCCAAGTAGGGGGCATCCACACCATGTGGAACCAAGCGTGGGTATGAACATAGATTTAGGCAAAAGGTGGGTATAGCAAGATCTTGGGGAGCAGAAGGAGCCTGGCACAGGTGAGGGCTTTGGCTCAAGTCGATGTGGAATTTAGTGTGTGATGAACTGAAATGTGGGCTTGGGCTTCTCAAGCCTCAGACAGACATGAGGCCTCCAGTGTGGTTATGGGCAAAGCAGTCTGGAAAAGAGATGAGTCAGCCATTGCTCCTGCCAGTGTTCTCTTTTCCCTGCCTATAGACCCCCTGGACCCTGTGCTGGGGACTGTAGAATTGGAACTGGACTCACCTATCAGCTGGAGCTCCTCAGAGTTTTCAAAGTGATGCCCAGCCGCAATTAGAAGCACAGCTGCATTAATGCCCGAATGTAGACTAGGCTCCACATCGAAAGCCTTGCGATACCTGGGGTGGGTTTGGGTGGGGGATGTGGGCCTGGATGGACAAACACAGAGCCCCATCCTTCACCCCAATAGCTAAGCCCTCTACCCACTTTCTTGTGCTCATTACCAGTGATAGGCCTGCTCCAGGTGCCCAGCATCTTGGAAGCCAGAGCTGAAGAACATATCCTTGTAGATGCGACCACACATGCAGTACAGATCTGGTGCTACAGAGCCCTCGCACTGTACCAATGGTAGAAGCACTGCCAGTGCTTTCTCCCGGTCCCCAGGCCCGTTTCTCCTAAAGTGGGGAAAGTGGGCTGAAGACCTGTCTGATGGTCTTGACCCACCCAGTCCAGGGACTCCTAGACCATGAACAGCAGGGATCTGACAACAATGACCCTTAAATGACATTGACCTTGGCTAGCACTGACTGATCTAGGGGTAGTGACCCCAGGTGGAAGTGATTCCCAGTTGCAATAGCTGTAAGGCATGGTGACCTTGAACAGTATGACTGTATCAAGGATGGTACCACCTCTCCTGTTCCCACCAGACAGCAATAACTCAGAACAAGGACCTCCTGACATCAGTACCCAGATCAGCAGAGTCCCTCAAGAGCAGTGGTTCCAGACAGCAATGGTCTTGCACAACAGAGACCAGGTCAGAATTCCCTGTGGCTCTGGCTCAAGCCCAGCCCTGCCACTCACCTGTTGAGGGCAAATGTGTAGTGGAAGCAGACATTGTGCTGCTCAGCCACATCACAGGTGGGCAAAGCCTGCAGGGTCTCCACCAGCTCAATGATGGCTGAATAGTCCTGAGTGAGGGAACAGCGAGCGTGAGCGTGATGAGGCCTGGACCATAGGAAAACCCTGAGCCTTGTCCTGTCTCACCCTCACATCCTGCCCCCAGACTCTGCAAACTTCCCGCAGTCCCAAAATGTTCAAAGACTACATCTCCTACAGGGAACCCGCTGTGCTGTGCACCCCATGCTGGGTGTTCTCAATCTCACAAATGTTCGGGAAGCAGTGACATCATCATTTCACTACAAACAAGGAAATGGAAACTCAGAGAACTTAGGTAATTTACTCAAAGCCACCAGGGAGCAGGTGGATCAGGCAGGAATTGAACTTGAATTTGTCTAACAACAAATGCCATCATCTTTGATGGCCTTACTCATTGAGGCAGGGTCTCTCTGTCAAATCCAGAGCTTGCCGATATGGCTAGTCTGACTTGCTCTGAGGATTGTCCCTTGTCTTCAACTTTCCAGGGCTGGAATTACAGGTGGCCACCATGTCCACCTGGCGTTTATGTGGGTTTCTGGGTAGCAGAGCTCTAGTCCTCACATTTTTGTAGCAAACACTTTAACCACTGAGCTGACTGCCCAGCCCCAAGTCATTCAATCTTTTAAAAAAATATTTTATTATTTTTATTTTATACATATGAGTGTATTGCCTGCATGTATGTAAATGCACCTGTGTTGCACAGTGCCCGAGGAGGTCAGAAGAGGGCATCAGATCCCTGGAACTGAAGTTACAGATGGTTGTTAGCTGCCATGTGGGTGCTGGGAATTGAACCCAGGTCCTCTACAAGAGCAATCAGTACCCTTAGCCCCTGAACCATCTCTCCAGCCCTTGCCTGCATGTAAGTGCCCCATGTGCATGCAATGCCCACAGAGGCCAGAAGAGGGTGTTGGATTCTCTGGAACTGTAGTTATGGATGTTTGTTAGCTGCCATATGGGTTCTGGGAATCGAACCTGGATTCTCCGCAAGAGCAGTTGGTACTCTTAACCGCTGAGCCATCTCTCCAGCTCTGACCATTGAACTCTTTATCCTCCTGCCTCCACCTCCCAAGTGCTGGGACTCTACACTGTAAATTGGCCTCTCAGAAAACCACACACCTGCACATCTCGGTAGGACAGCAGCAAGTTCATGATAATGTCAGGGCTCAACAGCTCCACACTGTCCAGTCTCCGCTGCAGGCGAGCCAACTCCTGCCGTAGCTGCTGTCCACTGAATCGCTCCCGAGCCTGCCGGATATCCTGCCGAATGGTCTCCCGAAAATAGCCACTAATGCCCAGACCAGGGAAAGGAGGGGGAGAGAATGATGAGCCTGTCCCTCAGCCCCAGCCCACTTGACCCTCTCTAGCCTCTTCCTGGTGCCACCCCTGCCTGGTAGCCCCATTACCAAGAGTCTGTGGGTGTGGCCTCCAACAGGCGGGCAAGCCGGCTCACCAGGGGTGTGAGCAGGGCCTCAGTGCTGGCCCCAGCCTGTACTAGCCCATCGGCCATGCCCCTCAGGAGGCCTGCATCACCACACAACACGCGGCCAGTGGCTGTCACCACATAAGGGATCAGTGTGTAGCTGCCAGCACAATCCTGGTGGGAAAAAGGCAGCAGTCAGTAGAGATAACAGGTCAGCACAGGGTTAGAGAGAGGTCAGTGGTCAGTACCAGGGAAGATAGAAATAGCAGGAAGGACCACACTTTGTGAAAGGAGGCTGCAGGGAACAGAGGGTCACACGGATGTCAGAGATAACTGAGGCCAGAAATATTAATGGAAGTCAGAGGCCATAACAGTGGACAAAGTGTACATTGGAGTGAGGGGGTAGGTTCTGCTCACCGAGTTCTTCTGGAAAACATCCTCCTGCAGGAGGCAAACAATCAGATACTGACATCTTGGGAAGGCCTCACCCCAACCCTGAACCTATCCCTACCAGTCACCTGTCCACTTACACGCAGGGCCTGTAGGTCAGGGAGTTCAGCCTGGGAGCAGAGGAGTACATTGTTGGTCATACTGAAACTCTCACGCACACCGAGGTGGTAGAACAGGGAGGGCTGTGCCAGGGAGTTGCTCACCTCCAGCACCACCACGTCTGTGGGCACAGAGGTATAGGCCTGAGCTCTGAATACCAGCTTGAGGGGAAAGAGCCTGGAGATGTGTGTCAGCCCAATCTGTCTGGCCTGTGACTCTTGTCAGGTTCCATTCTGATCTGGGCCTGTTTCTCACCTAAAGGATTTCCCAGTTCTTTCATAAGCCTCATAATCCTGATATTGGTTGTGTTACAGATGATGGACTGGGTTTCCTGACCCAGGGACCCTCATCCCACTGAGAGCCTACAAGCCCCAAGAAGGAGATAAAATGAAGCTTGCTCCAGCTCAGCTGTTCCAGGCTATGTAGAAGGCAGGAATTTTGCAAACACATCAGTCCTGTCCTCTGGGTTCTCAACCCAATCTCTGTGTGTTTCTTTCTTCTCTATTTCTTTCTTAATTTTGATATAGGGTCTCACTATGTATCCATGGCTGGCCTGGAACTTGCTATGTAGACCAGGCTGGCTCAGATTCATAGAGATTCACTTGCCTCTGCCTCCTGAATGCTAGGATTAAAGGCATGTGTTAACAGTTTTTATTTTATTTATTTGTAGGAGTGTATGTGTCTGAATGTATGACACTTGTGTGTGAGTGCCTGTGTAGGTCAAAGAGGGCATCAGACCCTCTGCAAATGGAGTTACAGGTGGTGAGCAACTGGACATGGGTGCTGGAAACCAAATCTCAGGTCCCCTGGAAGAGCAGCAAGGGTTCTTAACCGCTGAGCCATCTCTCCAGCCCTCAATCAGATCTCTTAAAAGACCTGTACCAGTCGGCCGTGGTGTCGCACGCCTTTAGTCACAGCACTCGGGAGGCAGAAGCAAGAGGATCTCTGTGAGTTCAAGGCCAGCCTGGTCTACATAGTGAGTTCCAGGGCGGCTGGGGCTACAGGGAGACCCTGTCTCAAAAAAGACCAAAAAACCCCCCAAAAGACCTGTACCATCAGTGTGTGAAGATAAAGCTGTGCTCTTTCGTGTATATGCAGCTTACTATATCCAAGCATATCTTTATGTGGAAAAGTCTGGAAGGAACCTGTGAGTCAACACGGATGAGATTTGTATTTGTTGATGAC